GTGTGTGTGTACGCGCGTGCGTGCGTGTGTGTGCGAGCGAGAGATTTGTTAGAACGAAATAAGAAAGTCTTTAATATGCAGTTCTTATGGTTACACCTGTTCAAGGAAATGAATGAGAGCTGATTATCTTTGCTCTTCACAGTTACCAATTCAAAAGAGAAAGAAGCCAGCCGGACCGAGGAAGAGAAACTTCAAGACGCACAACAACCATTTGGCTGGATTACTGGAGGATTACTCAGATGGCGTGCCTATAAAGAAGTGAAATATATTCATTCAGTCCCATATGTAACACAGAAATGCATGGAGATGGTTATTCTAGACTCACTATAACATAAAAACTGCTGATGAATGTTATTTCAAAACATTAGCTGTTTTTCTCCCCCCTTTCTTTGCATTCCTCTCAACAATCTCTGGTTTTATGTTACATGGAGTCAGTAGTTGCTGTGTTGTGGAAACCTTTTGAGTATAAGTCAGTGAAGGACATGAATACTTGGATCATTAGGATAGCTGGCGCCCTCACCAATTAAAGGGGAAACCACAACTTTACTGTTAAAGTAAATAAGGTTGAATTGTGTAGCTTTCTTTCATATTGTTTGTATATATTTAGTATAGTGTGTGGAAGGTTTTTATTTGAATGGTTAGCAACGGTTATGCTTTTGTAATAACTGCAAAAAACAGCCGTGTGTTGTGCAGTGTATTGCATCACACTGAAAACTCATCCAGCAGGAAATGTCTTCAGCTTTGTGGAACTTAAAATATTTAAATGCGTTTTACTTTGCAACACCGTGATATAGTGGTTTAAGAAATATTAGCATTTTTGAACCAACTCAAATAAATTATACTGCCACACAAAACTGCTTTGATTAGATCAATAAGTTGCCATTTTAAGTGTCAACATTATGCGTTTAAAAAAGTCAACATTTGAATCCATCTAAATATTTAAAATGTTTCATTTATTGTTAGTGTAAATTCTTTATCAGAATGGCAGAAATTACCTTCTACAACTTAATGATAAAAATACTGGTAACTGCCATCATAAGAAATGAGCAAATCTAGTACAGCTTGTGTACCTTATAAGTTAATCGTAAAAAACAAAAGGTACATCGGCATAGCAGGAGAAAGATGAGAAGCTTAATCTTCTGTTGCAGATCAGAGTAGAAAATATCAGTAATTGAAGAGCAAAAACAGGGTAGGTACATAACTATATACATTCATGCTTTCTTCCAGCAGGATCTAGTTAAACATTGATATTCTCTGCATTTCAAAAGGTATAAAGTGTAATTTTAGCTAGCAGCATGGCCTGCTTTAACAGTTTTCTTCAAATGGTGGTAGTTTGGCAAGATCTTCATCAGAAAATCGAGCTGAAGAGTCTGTGGCTGAAATGAGATAACAGACATGATGATGAGCATAATGCACAAATGTTTTCTCTGCACACAAACTTTTAAACAAGTGGGCATGTATGAAAATCTTACATAAAAACATTAAATATGAAATATCACTTCAGTGTTTTCTAGGTGAATGTGACGGAAATGAGAGAAACTGAATATTTTACACATTTTCAGACAGTCTGATGCTGAGTTTTTGCCCATGGTGTTACTGTGTTTCTCAGCTCTAATGCTGAATGCTTAAAAACAATTATTTGCATCATAAATGTGACCCAAATCCATATGAAACTCAAGTGTGGCTAATGTAGCATTTGTCTTGCACTTGTACGAAATGCTCAGAGTTGTAAAATATTAAAAACTTTCTATATAGATCCCAGATACAAGTTAGAGGGAGAATTAGTTTTAAAAATCTGAATCTAATAAAACATCTGATTTTTAGTTTCATCAGGAAAACATACATGTGATTAGCCCACTTGGAAGCTCAAAATATAATGCTTTGATATTCAATTTGCAATGCTAATGCTACATCTAGGTTATTTGTCTACACCAACGATGTTTTCCAGTCACAGATCTCCATACCTGGGGTCTCTCAGTCTGCACCCTCCTCATACATCCAGAGCCGTAGATGACCGTGTTCTCGGGTATGACCTCACAAGTGTTGACCTGACAGAAGGCTCCAATTATACAGCCACTGGTGAGGATTACATTCCTGCCAACATCCGCTAGTCAACAAAAAAGGACATTTGGTAACGTGAGTGACTTAATCGAAATTATACAGACTTGAACACTCACTGAAAGCCAAAGAAACGGAAGGCAATATCCCACCTTTAGATTCAATCACATTGTTGTCTCCAATTTTTAAAGCTTGCGATACTGTTTGTTGTCAGTTGAGGCAAAACATGATTTCTTTTACAAAGATTTATTGTGTTACAATTTAAAAATCATATATGGAGCAGTACTGGCTAGATTGGATAAAAGGATACCACAGCCAACTTCAAAGACGTTGTTGATACCGATGGTCATTGTTTTTGGTTCCACCTCAGAATCAGGTGTAATATTTTCTGGGTAACTGTGGGGAAGATCACACAAGCTCGCATGTAAGAATAGTGACAGATCACCAGAGATGGTCAACGATGGTTAACCTAGTGGAAAACATGGTACACCGAGGCCTTAGATAACCTGTTAATGATCAGAGCTTGCTCTTCAATCAAGTTGCCTTCTCCGATGACAATGGGTCCTGCCTCAGCAATGATGCGAGCTTTTGGGTGGACCACGGTCCTGGCGCCTGGAGAAACAGGTGCAGCAAGTAATCAAGCACAGTGATGACAGCCATTCAACTCCTGCCTTGGGACTGATCTGCTGTGAGAGAAAAGCAAGTTTTCTGAACTCCGATTACTGGGCATAGTCTTACCTATGGTAACGTCTCCTCGGATTTCGCTTTCAACACAAACCACGGCTCCAGTTGCTATCTTGACACTGCAACAGAAACGAGAAATGTTTTTGTACATGCTAGCTAATGCTGCTAGCTAGCTACTTCATTGAGCTGTCTTAACTGGCCACATCAGCATCTTCAATTCGCTGTAACTAATTCTTCTTTACTTCTATTATTTATTCTAATGGCTTTTATGCTTAGCTACGCCGCTAAAAGTCATGTTCGCAATGATGTACACATTACCTCTTCTGAGCATTTTGTTTGTCTGCCATTGTGAACGATGAAGTCCGATGGGAGGCACCGTTGAGCCACTCGATCATCGATTTAGAGTCCTTGACGTTTCAGCGTACGTAGAAGCGTAAAGGGAGAAACAAGAACAACAACACCCAAACTTATTTATGTGTAATTTTTTATATAGCTTATTTTTTCTCTCTGTTGAAAGTGTTTCCTGGCTTATGGAGTTTTCAGATTGTGGAAATGTGTACAGATCTCCATATATTTAGACAGACAATATCTAATTTTCATATTTAAACATAAAATGTAGGAACAATTTCAATGTTTCTTGTTACAGCTTTACTTTTCTTTTTTTCACAGAATTAAATGATTTGATCATATTTTATTCACATTTATTACAAAAAAAACCCCACTGAAAACAAATGTTTAAACTGAGACATTGTGATAAGATTAGGAATTATATACTCATTTCTTATCTTGTCCATCTTGGTTATTCTCAACAAAAATCTCAGCATCTTTAGCTCTTTCACCTCCATCTCAGCCTCCTTTGTTTTTGTCAGTGCCACCGTCTCCAAACATACACCATGCTACCTGCTCACATAGATCACAATATCATCTCCAAACACCATTGTCCACAGACTCCAGCTTGGCCTGATCTATCAGCCCATCACCACTGCAAACAAAAAGGGGTTCAGAGCCGAACCTTCATGTAGTCCCACCCCCACCTGGAAGTTACGGCATACCTCACCACTATCTCGCTGTCCTCATACATGTCCTGCACCACCCTCACATATTTCTCTCTGGCACTCCTGAGTTCCTCATCCAGTACCACAGTTTTATTGGGAATACTGTGTCATATTCGACTTTAGTGCCGATCGCAAACATGAATATGTGCAATAACCATTCCATTACCTAACAATTATTGGGGTAGTAGAACAGGTATGGTACTTTGGCCCTTCTCGCTCCCACTAGAGTGCCAAAACAAGTACACGGATCGAAAGTAACCTTTGCCATGGCAAAAAGGAAGCTTAAGAAAAACAATACATGTCACTCGTATTCAGTAGCATCGGTTCAACCAAAGAGCCAGAAAGAAATGGCACAAACGGAGAAAAGTGCCACTTTTGCCCTTGCTGCTGTTGCTTTGGTCGTGGCTGTTTGCGTGGCACCACTAGCAGCTGAAATATCTTCGTGTAAGTATCCTGAACTGAAAGAAAGTAAAAGCAGGAGACTACTGCTACCAGGTTAGCAAGCTAGCGAGCAAGCTAATGTTTAGCAGTGTTTTACACCAACTCCCGTATTTGTTGAAATTATATTACAGCAGCAGTGGTTATGGGTTTTTTGGCGATAGCTGAAGGTTTACTCCAACAAACAAGCGGTTTAAATGTTTAATTATTAACCTGCTATCGAGCGGCTAACTGTAAAACGGTATCAACTGAGAACAGCTGATAATGGAAAAGTGAGCTTCAGCGGTTTGAACTTCCCTCTCGGTGGTAAATTAGGGATTAATGCAGCATGTGACCACTGGCTCTATCACATGCTTTCTCCCTCCAGACGCTAGCTTTACCTTTCTGGCTGTAGCTTGCTGTCAAACTGGGCTTCTTCGCTACCGCACACTGGTATGGAGTAGGTTTGTGGTCCTTAGCATCGGCTGTGGTCGATAGATTTGAGACAAATTACAGAAAGATGGCTTCTTGTGTCGCGTATTAAAACGAAAAGCATCACGACCACCCGTTATTAGTTCTCTGACTTGTTTGATAACATTTGTGCAGTCGGGAAAGATGAGATTATTTTGCACGTTTGCGCATTTTGATCGATTAATAACCAGCGTAATGGCATGCACACTGTGATGGTTTTCTGATGATTTTAATTATATGAACAGCGGCTTGGGTGGGGTCACCAATAGAAAACCGTAGACTGTAGCATCGTTGTACCTTCATATGCAGAAAATTGATGTGTTGCTGGGTTTCAACTGATCTGCACAATGCCTGCTGCGCTTTCTTACTCACTCTAGCTGATATACATCATCATAAGCACCTGTCCCTGAAGATGGATGAGGCACAGCTGACGGTCAACAATGAGTTGTCATATGAGGTGCAGGTGTCTTGGATGTCACAGCGCTGCTACCAGGTGGGCTCACACGTGCCAGATATTTCCCCTCATTTGATTCTGTTTCTGTGTGGTTTAAGTTCAATAATGTTCTCAACTTGGCTTCTGCTCTCTCGCCTGTTAGTGTTTGTACCAGCAGCTAGGGGTGGTACCTGCAGGGCTTGAGCCTGGTCAGCCCAGTTCAGTAAACTTTGTTGTAAGCACACAGCATGAAATAACACTGCAGATCAACAGCACACCTATCGAGCTGGAGCTCTGCAAGTACGTTTACGAATACGGTCGTGTTTCCAACTTACAAAAAGAACGACACTCTGGTTATATAAAATTAAGGATCAGTGTTTGGCTTATTTGTTGATGACATAAATCTTTTTCCTTTGTTTTTTTTAAATTCACAGAATTCCTTTCCACTTTGGCGAGCATGGTAACTACTCCCTGTGGGTGAAAACCCTGAACGCATCTTTTGGAGTCAACTGCTCTGTAGTTACTGATAAGGACCCTGTGAATAGCTACATACGTGAGTGTCTCACACAGAGAAAAATATTTTATTTTAACTAATAATTAATATACATTTAATTAATATCTTTCCACACAGCGATCTTGGTTGCTTTTCTCATCTATGCTCTCCTGGCCTTGGTGTTTGCCATTGGAAAAAAGGTTTGGGGGTAAGCCTGATTTTTGTTTTGATGTTCATTCAGTAAATTTCAATATAAAGAAGTGGATATTTTTTTGAATGATTTGAAAGTGTTAAGAGTAAGCACTGCAGATGCATCAGAAAGAGATGCTCTGTGCCTTTGTGGAAGTATCCTCTGGAAAGAGGAGGAAGTCAGTAGAAGCGAGACAGAAAATGTGTGTTTTCCATTGTTGAGCCATTACGAGCAGAGATAGTGAAGGTAGATGAGTTTAAATATCTGGAATCAACCATCTAGCAATTAGAAACTGCATAAGAGAGGTGAAGAAGAGAGTACGGACAGGGTGGAGTGGGCGGAGACAAGTGTCAGGAATGATTGCTAACTGAAACATAGCAACAAGAGTGAAAGGGAAGATTTACAAGATGACAGTGAGACCTGCTATGATGTATGGTTTGGAGAGAGTGACACTGACAAAAAGACAGAGTTGAAGATGATCAGATTTTCAGTGGAAGCGACCGTGATGGACACAATGATTAGAAATGATTAAACCAGAGGGAAAGCTCAGGCTGAGTGTTTTAAAAACAAAGTTAGAGAGGCAGGGCTGAGAGTGTTTGTGCAGAGGAGGAATTGTGGATATTTGTGATGCTGAATGATGCTTCCAGGCAGGAAGAGAAGGTTCATGGATATAGTGAAAGAGGAGATGCAGAGGAGCATGCTAGGAAAAGGGTGAGATGGAGGCAGATGATCCACTCTGGCGAACTCTAAAGGGAGCAGCTGAAAGAGGAAGAAGAAGAACGTTTTTCCAGTCTTGTCTCTCTCTGAAGCACACAGTCTCGAGAGTCAACTGAGCTTGTTTGTACTCCAAAAAAACCCTCAATCAAAATCTTGATTGTTTCTTGTCCAGGCTTGATGCAGTAAGAGGTCTGGTCCTCCGACTTGGGAGTTCCATGGAAACGGAGAGACTCATCAATTCTGTGAGTGTTCTGCAATCGTTTGGCCTTGTTTAATTATGAGTGCTTTAGTGACAATGAAATAAGAACCCAGATAGTTTTAATATAGTAGATTTACAGTTACTGATCTGCTTCTATCCTGTGTGTTTTTGTCTTAATAATAAATCAGGTGATAAATCTATACTTCCAGTAGAATTATGTTAATATCCAGCTTTGACTTCATCATCCAGGAACTGGGCCCCACTCGGGTAGTGCCGCCAGTCACTGATAACGTCCTCCCTCCCCCGCTAACGAGCAGCAAGAGGCTTCGATCTTTGGATACATTCAGAGGGTAGCTTCCTGACCCCACCCTCACTCTTGTGCCTCCAGCTTAGTGTCCTCATTGTCTTATTTATCATTATACTGTATCATATGTTTGTTTGTTTTTATTACAGTGTGGTAGGTGACACTGAATTTGTCCCTAATTAATCAACCACCACCAGCAGTATTAAATCTAGATCCAGTGCTTTGATGTTTTCATATTTTTGCCTATTTTTATTCATCAATTAATATAAATAAACATGTACTCCTTGCTTGATGCTTTTCAGTAAATGTGGCATTTTCTGTGTTTCTGTCAGTATCTCCTTGGTCATTATGGTGTTTGTGAACTATGGAGGGGGGCGATACTGGTTCTTCAGACATGAAAGCTGGAATGGTAAGCCCAGTGTGGTTTCTTTGTTTAGTTTTTTTTTTAGCCATGTTGCAGTTTCCTCATTATTTACAGATCTTTGCAGCTCTCCTTGGTATTTGCAATGTTGTTGATTTTAAACCAGGCCTTCCCCATTTCTCATCTTGCAGGCCTTACTGTTGCTGACCTAGTCTTCCCTTGGTAAGCTTAATTTAAAGATTCTTATAAAAAGTTGTCTTATATGCAGTTGGATTGTCTTTATTTGTACTCACACGTTAATATAAATGTGCAGTATTTGTATTAATGTGTATTTTTATTTTGTAATGGTGACAGAATTCTCTTCAGAAGGATTACAGGGACCATTAACAAATTCTGGTCCAGTTACATAGTTGAATGTGCACAAGAAATAAAGGGTGTTTTCTTTAAAGTGGTCACTGGACTAAAAGGGGCTTAAAAATTGTATAAAAAAGGAAAATCCAACAGAAGGAATAAAAAAAAAAAATAGAAATAATAAAGTTCCATTTGTTCCCTCAGCAGATCTTTTAAGTGTAGAACCAACACTCATTTTGTCCCTTCTTCCACCAGGTTTGTGTTCATAATGGGCACATCCATCGCACTCTCCATCAATGCCTTGCTGCGTGCAGGCGCGACCCGTTGCTCATTGCTCAGAAAAGCTGTGTGGCGGAGCTTGCAGCTCTTCATCATTGGTGTCCTAGTCATCAACCCAAACTACTGCCAGGGAGCGTGTAAGTATGAACTCCGTCTTTACAGCAGTATTCCAAGCTCTTTAGGTGGATGATTAAACCATATACTATAATACTGTTTCAAACTTTGAACTTATGTGGTTATTTATTTTCATTTGCATTCTTATTGCGTGTTTATATCTTCTCCACAGTGGCTTGGGAAAACTTGCGGATCCCGGGTGTGTTGCAGCGCCTCGCCTGGTCATATCTGGTCGTAGCTTGCTTGGATTTACTGGTGGCCAGAGGACAACTTGACGTCCTCACAGTGGTCAGCCTTTTTTTTTTTTTTTTTCATCTGCATTGTTTAACAGTCTGTGTTGTTTTATGCTAAATAGGTTTATGTTAAATTTGTGTTTGAGGAAAGGAGATGTGTTTAATGGAGTGGGTTTTATTTTCCAGGATGCGTGGTGGTCCCCAGCTATTGATTTCTTGCTGTATTGGCCCGCCTGGCTGTGTGTGATTCTTCTAGAAGTACTCTGGCTCTTCCTCACATTTCAACTTCCTGTGCCAGACTGCCCAGCGTAAGTCAAAGACAGTGAAGTGTAGTGCTTCATTATTTTGCGTACGTTTTTGCAATAATTGAACTTTTAGCATTAAGCGTTAATAAACTGGAATTTCTAACCTTCCTCTTGGTGCAGTGCTACATTAACAACACTGACTGCACTAATTTCTTTGGTACAGAGGTTATCTGGGTCCAGGTGGGATTGGAGACATGGGGCTGTATGTGAACTGCACCGGTGGAGCTGCTGGTTTCATTGACCGCTTGCTTCTGGGAGAAAAGCACATGTACCAGAATCCATCATCAAGGGTTTGTAACCACCAAAACATCCCAAATATAGCTTCATGATAGTCTTTTGTAACTTGAAATGTTAAGGTTATTTTAATGTGTCAGATTTCTCTCCGATGGGCACGTACACACTTGTTAACCCCAATAATGCAAACACTGATAGACTGCATCTGATGTTGATAAAATCAATCAGTTTACATTTTATTTCAGGTGATTTATGCAACTCGTATACCGTATGATCCAGAAGGTGTTCTTGGCAGCATCAACTCTATCCTCATGGCCTTTCTGGGATTACAGGTTTGTAATTTATATTTGTCTGGTGTTGGCCTCCTTTTGTTTCTTGTTTATTCAAATAAAGATATAAAACAGTTTGAAAGGTTAAAGGAAGTAAATGGTTGGCTTTCATTCTTTTTGTATTTTAATTGTCCTCAGGCAGGGAAAATAATCTTGCACTACAGAGAACGCCCCAAAAGTATTATGTCGAGGTTCCTCATATGGGGTCTTTTACTGGTAAGCACATTGTTTTGATTGATTAATTGAATCTTTATTTTGAACATGTTGAAAAAGTACAACAACATAGAATTAAAAAGAGACAAACAAACAAAGCAAACAGCAAACAGAGAGAGAGAGATCTATATAAAGTCATTTTTGCATCCATGATTGAATAATAAAATGTCTTCTGTCATTCAGGGTGTTGTATCAGCATTTCTAACCAAATGTTCCACAGACCAGGGTTTCATTCCTGTCAACAAAAACCTGTGGTAAGGGCCATGTTTTATTTATATCTACAGTTAGAACTACATTTACTCAAGCAATGGGCACTTTGGGAAATTCTAATTGAATATTTTGGAAACTGCTGCAAAATAAGCAGCACTAGTAATATTTTTAAGTTTGGCAAACGTTAGATTTTATAGTCTTTTCCCACTTAAAATGCGTAAAATATTTTATACAGATATAATAGAATACCTAATGTCACATAATTTGTGTTATGACTAGGTTTTCCACATTTGCTCTCCACTCCAGCATCTTACGTTCTCACAACTTTGTGGCCACAGGATTGTGAAATCAGACAAAAGAGAAGTTGTAGAATATCTCATAAAAAATGGAAACCAATCAAATATACAGCAATACCCTTGGCAAATATTTAAAGTGGTCTATCACGCCAATATAGAGTTTATTTACATAGCCCAAAATCACCTTAGACATAACGGGCTGTACCAGTAAAACTCATGCATAAATAGTTATAAACATCGAGATTACACACTCTCTGACATGCATAGTTACATTAGAGAGTTAAACATTAAAGGTATTAAAGGTATCCAGGAGTGCATAAACTGAATGAAAAATGGCATGTTTTTAGGTGTGATTTTAAGTTTAAAAAAATTGGCAGACCTTCAGCTGGTGCAGTGCTGATAAATATCTTTTTTCGCCCTTTTTTTAAGTCCTGTCCTTTCTGGCCGATTTTGCAATCAGAATTATGATCTGAATCCACTGTTGCGCGCCAAGAACATTTTGTTTTTCCCAGATCAGCTCTATAAATCATCTACATGATCCTCTTGTTCAGGGTTTATCTGTTTATCTGGGACTAGTGTTATTTCATTTATTACATTATATGTGGTATACAGTATGACAATGACTAAGGCTGGACAGGCAGGTGGGAAACAAATGGGGGGGAGACATAATAAAAGGATGGAGTACAAATAGTCTTTGTCATAAAATGAGGCAGACAGAGATGGACATTGACATTGACACAAGCACCCTGATGCTGCACAGCATATAAATGTTTTTTAAAAAATGTCTTAATGTTTCACTTCTAGGTCTCTGTCTTACGTGACAACACTGGCCTGCTTTGCCTTTGTGCTCCTAATGCTGATCTACTACATAGTGGATGTAAATAAGTGGTGGTCAGGGGCACCTTTCTACTATCCTGGTGAGCATTAGAATCACACAAAAGCTTAATAGACAGTTTTTGCCTAAGACAGCTTTTGATTGCACAGTTACAGTTGTACTTTTGGGGTTTGATGTGAATGTGGAAGTCTGCTCTGTCACAGTGTGAATTAGTATGCAATTGGAAATATAATCTGCCAAATATTTATTTTCCTTGTGAATTTCTGTGTAGTCATTGCGTCCTCTACTTCACTCTCTCTTGTGTGTTTCATTAAGGTATGAACTCCATACTTGTGTACGTGGGCCACGAAGTGTTTGAGGACTACTTTCCCTTCCACTGGCAGATGTCCAACAGCCAATCCCATGCTGAGCATCTCATTCAGAACCTTGTGGCCACTTCCTGTTGGGTCATCATCTCCTATTTGCTTTACAAAAAGAAGATTTTCTGGAAAATTTAAACACAGGACAGCAAAAGCACAGGACATTGTTTACATCATAGATGCTGGAGACACAACAAGAATGCATTTGGTTGGACACAGAATGCAGATTAATTATGTCAAGGTTATATCATAATTCTATGAATCTCTGTCTCTGATCATGTATGGGGGTTCTTTCATCACATAGCTATTCTGTTAGGTTATTTACCCTTTCTTTCTTTTTACATTTTTTCCCATAAACTAGGGCTGTTCGATATAACGATATATATCGGATGACGATATAAAAACGCCTATAGTTTCATTTTACGCTATCGTTTGTTTCGTGGTGTCGCAAAATAAACTGTTTACGGCAATACTTTTTCATCGTTTTGATGGTCACTGTAGTGGCTATATTAATTTCTTAAAGTTCTCTCTTTCTCTTATATTTAATATAACCACACTACAGACGGACAAGCGCCTGTTTTTATGTGTTGTTGTTAGCAGCAATGACGGTAAAACCATCGCGTGTCCGCTTGTTTATTTTCCACATAAACCTTTCACAATAAAGCTCAAGATCCTGTTGAGACTTTTCAAAATAAACTGAATCACGTGAAAGACTATGCAGAGTGTTTACGGATGAGAAGCAAAAAAAGAGCCGTCCAGTGCTAAAAACTAAACCTTAGACTCAAACGTTAGAACAGGTTTTTCCCTGCAGCACGCCGAATAATAAATACTCACAAAGAAAACGGCGGCCGTTGCAACTTATGTCTAAAAATGTATCGTTTCATGCATCGGTTAAAACACTCGACTCCAGGTACACGACGCCCAGCCGGAAACACTTCACGCAAGTTGAGATTCACAGAATTTACAGAACATGTAAACAGAACATTTACAGAACATTTTTTTCTTTTTTTTGTGATTTATATCGTTATCGGGACGATAGATGTCTTATATCGGGATATGAGATTTTGGTCATATCGCACAGCCCTACCATAAACAGTTTGTTCAGTTATGCACCAGCAAAGTTATCCTTAGTGATTCAGGAAAAAAAGAGTTGAAGAATAGTTTGGATTGTAAATACACCATCTTTAATGTGTAGTAGTTTACACATCCACCTACAAAGCAAAAGATCCCTGGTTGAATCCCGGCAGGAGACACAAGTATAATGGGGTTGCATAAGGAAGGGCATCCAGTGTAAAAATGTGCCAAATCAATTATGCGGAGCTACCGCTATGGTAACCTCTTGTGAATAAGGAAGCAGCCCAAAGTAGCTTTAAATAAACTATTTTTGGTATACCAGTACATCTTAAATGGCAGAGTATTTAAGCAGGGTGTTGCAGCATTTCTTTAACAGGCCCTATTGACTTCTCTGTTGTCATGTGAAGTGCTGTGGTCTTACCCTGAAGGCTGACGTTAGGTTTTTGTTTTTTTTTTGCTTTTTATCAGGTGGACGCTAAAGGCAAAACATTTACCAACAATTCACTGTAATCTTTAAATATTTTTTTTCCTGCTCTACATTTTAAGATGGAATTGGTGTTCAAATGAGGGGGATATCATAAGTAGATGCTTCATATATCCCATACCCCCACCCAGCACGTAGTGTCTGTGCTGCTCAGCGCGTAGCACTATAGCTATAGCTCATGTTCATCGCTGGATTCTGTTTTGCGAATATAATGAATAACTGCTGGCTTCACTGTGCTCCTATTTTATGTACATCTCACAATCGATGTGGGTAACTGAGCAACCAACCAACCAAACATAAGAAAGACACGAGAAAAACCTCCAAACTGTTCTGATTTCCATTTCTCTATTACATTTAAGATGACCTGTCAGATTAAATAAGCTGCAAATGTTCTGGGGAGTTAAAAGAGGGCATGTTAGCAATATTATGTATTTGGTTTCATGTGGAAGCAGCACGGGGTTTTTTTGGGGTTTTTTTTTATGGTCTTCAAAAAACAGAAGTCACAGTGCTGCTATTTTTTGTGTGTTAGTGTTACATGTGCATTTTTTTTTATCATCTTTAGTTTAATACTCTCCAAATTTTTTGCTGCTGTTTTGCCAAATGTGCTTTTTTTCCTTACACAGTAATCTGAAAAAGCACCATAAATATATTTGATGGACTCTTATCATAAGACTGTTCCCATTACTCCCACCGTAATGGGTAAATGCGCTCGCTGTTACCATCTGCAGTTGATAAAACATTTACCACCTGTTTTTGCAGAATCATCTGTTCAGTCTATAGAATATCCAGATGCTGTGGATAATATTTTTCTTTTTTGGGGGGGGGGCTGCTCATGTAGTACTGTCACCATTTCTATTTCATGACATTTACTTCGATAAACTTTTATCTAATTTTTTTATATACACTATTCGAAAATACATTTATATAATAAAATCTCTATTTTAAAAAATAGTTCGAGATTGATTTCCTATAATATGGTAATTTCTGTTCTATATGTGAAAGAATTCTAAACAAAAAAATGTCATATGGGGGATTTGTGTAGCAACACAGTGACATGTCACAAAAGAAAAAAACAACAGTGGGTATCCACCACATAGCAGCTTTAATGCTACAGGTCCTAAAACTCTACTTGAGAGCCATTCTTCCAAAAAATATTCCCTCATTTGGTGTTACAGTGGTGATGAGGAGGAGATGAAATTTCTCTCAGATGGTCATTTTTACCCCTCAGCTGTAAAAGGCTGTTGTCATTGGGCAAGCAGGCAGGTGACGTGGACACCCAAGTTTCTGAATGCAACAACTCAATAACCAGGTGAATGTAGGACTTTTAAACAGATTAAATCTTGGATAGGTTTGAATCCCAGTGACATTGACCTCAAATTCAGAGGTCATCTTTTTTGAAAATCATATGGGATTTTCAAATTTATACCACATGTGCATCTAATAGGAGGATGAGGGTGCCAGTATTTGTTTTAATACCCGATTCTCTTTATTTCAATAGTGGCAAAAAGTCAAGTAATTGGTACAATGATGTATTTATTTGAAGTGTGCCCTCTTTCTAAGAGAAGAAGTAGACCCAAACAAGGGCAGTAACAGTGTAACGGAGCCAACGGATGTTGTCATTGAATGGGTTCAGCACTGAGGCCTGTGTGGTTGTCTTGATCTATGAAACACATAGATAATAAATTGGACTGGGTTAAAACACCACTGCACTCTACAGAAAGCGCCAGAGTCTTCTCTATTTTCTGAGGCGGCTGAGGTCTTTCAACATCTGTCAGGACAATGCTCGGGATTTTCTGTGAGTCTGTTGTGGCCAGTGCCATCCTCTATGCTGTTGCATACTGGGGCAGCAGGTTGAGGGTCGCAGATGCTAACAGACTCAATAAACTGATCCACAAGGCCAGTAATGTTTCCATGATGGAGCTGTATTCCCTTAAGCTGGTGTCAGAGAAGCGGATGTTGTCCAAGATAAGGACAACATCATGAGGACCTCCCACCTAGGCCATGATGTGCTGGGCAGTCACAAGAGCACGTTCAGTGAGAGAATGGGATTACCCCAATGCACCACTGCACGACAAATCATTCCTCCCTGTACAACCTGCACAGTACACACTGCAATAGTTACAACCTTTTACATATCCTCTACATTGAAAGTAACACGGTTTTACAATTTAGAGTAAAATGTCAGTCATCTATATTTTATCTGTGTAATATTCTGGATATTTATTATTGAGCTCTTTGTATATGTTACAGCTATTTCTTATATTTTGTAACATATTGCATTATTTAATTTAGTTCAGTCTGTTACTGTTCTTGTTGTCTTGGAGCAACACTAACCACATAATTTCCTTAGGGGTTAATACAGTATCCTGATTCTCAAATGCATTTGCTCTCCTTTTTCCACATCCACCACTGATCTCCCACATGTGAACTCCATCCATCCGCTTCCGCTTATCCTTTTCAGGGTCGCGGGGGGCACTGGAGCCTATCCCAGTTGTCATAGGGCGAGAGGCGGGGTACACCCTGGACAGGTCGCCAGTCTGTCGCAGGGCCAACACACAGGGACGGACAACCATTCGCACTCACATTCACTCGCACATTCACACCTAGTGGCAATTTGGATTATCCAATTAACCTGTCCCCACAAGCTGCATGTCTTTGGACGGTGGGAGGAAGCCGGAGTGAACCCACGCAAACACGGGGAGAACATGCAAACTCCACACAGAAAGACCCCGGCCTGATGGTAGAATTGAACTCAGGACCTTCTTGCTGTGCGACAACAGTGCTAACCACCGTGCCACCGTGCTGCCCCACATGTGAACTCATCTTTTGTAATGATGCGCTGCCAATCTACTAAAATCTATATTATTCTATTAATGATCCTGCATTAAGATGTAACTGAGGAAGAGCTACTCTTCCTCAGTTTTTCCTGACACTTTACACAGTGTGCCTGAGAATCACAATTTAAATGTGGTGATGTATCCCATATATCTAAATCCAGCTGCCTTACTCGCTATTACAACACAAGCCGGTTAAGCAATCTTTGACCCTCCTTCTAGACTACGTTATTGTAGATATTCCCTCTTGGCCTCTTTTACTTGTAATAGGCTCTGTGGAAGCATCTGCATTCACTGTGATTCTCCACTCTTCCCATTTAAGGTCTGTGCTTTAATCTTCCACTCTCCCATATATTTCCAGTGCTGTAGCTCATATAACACATATCTATCCCGTGGCCGTGTTTCTAGCTCCTCAGCACAGAAAGGTGCAGCCTGCTTCGTTGCTCAATAAGCGTGGGAATCGAGTTACAGCGCGCGCGCCCTGTGGGAAAAAAACAGAGCGAGTTGTGAAGGCGGTAGATCTCGCGATAAAACTACCCTTCCTTCATGCGTGTGTATTGTGAGAGTTTTTCCGTTCTCGCGCGACGTTGCAACTTTCCCACGCCTGTTGTTGTGGCGTCTGCCCTCTGCCCGTCGCCCCTCCCTCGCCCTCTTCTCACCCCCTTTTGCCCCGTCACGCTCCCCTCCCTCCCTTCCCTCCCTCTTTCGTTCCCTTCTTTTCCTTCCAGTCTGCTTCTTCTTCTGTTGTGCCGTTGGCTTTGGTCAGGGAACTGGGGGGGGAGGGATCTCGCGATTGTTGGGACTTTTTTTTTTCCGGGGGGGGAGAGTTATTCGGAAGATGGCGCCCGTTGTAACGGGGTAAGTGCAGAAATTTAAAGCTGTATGTTTTCAAAACCTGACTGTTTTTATTTGGGGAAGATATTGGCAGTTGGTACTACTTTTTTGGTGGGGGAGCGATGTTTTTCGGTGTTGTTAGTAGGCATATCACACATAATAGTACTACCTTGTGGCACGGTGCGGGCTCAGTTGTGCAAAACTATTCTTCGAAGTATCGCCTGCTTTCTATACAGTTTATTGAACTGCCCTATCAAGAAAGTTTCAAACAATTTCAGAAACTTTTTTTTGCCAGTTTAAGTTTTTTATTTTGGCTTAATATTTTTTTAAGAGTTGACTACATCAGCATAACACCCTCAGAGAAAACTGCAACTTTGTCAGATACTGAAGAAAGAAATAAAATTTGGCTTGGCTCATTAAAACAAACGATTCCCATTTTGTTCAAAGGCTTTCTTTCTTCAGCGTTTTTCCTAATTTTCTTCTAATCCAAAAAACGTTTAAAGAAAATCACATCGCCTCTATTAAATCTGTTTTCTTACATACTCTCCCTCAAGCTTATTTTACGTTTCTGCTGCACTAACCCCAGCACTAAAACCACGTGTAAAAGACTTTTCCCCTGATGTTTTTGTTTTGCAGGAAGTTTGGTGAGCGACCTCAGCCACAGCGATTAACAAGGTGGAGTGTGAGAAACACAGCCAGCTGTTCCCCGTGCAATCTTAGACTTTATAATCTAGGGGAAAAAATGATCATGTCATTAAAAAGTGCTCTAAAAGGTTTAATGCGTTTCTCCACATTGCAGGGAAGCCATGAGGAACTACTTGAAGGACAAAGATGATCAAACGGTGCTCATTCTACACGCAAAAGTCGCACAAAAGTCATATGGCAATGAAAAAAGGTTTGTGTGGCACTGCTAAGTTTCATTGTGTTTAAAGAAAAATGTCTCACTTTACTTCTTCTTGTGCCACTTAGGTTTTTCTGTCCTCCACCGTGTGTATATCTGATGGGCACCGGATGGCAAAAGAAGTTGGAAAAAATGGAGAAGGAGGGCTGTACTGAGCAGGAGGCCCAGCCTTGTGCCTTCATTGGAATTGGCAACAGTGAGCAGGAGATGCAGCAGCTCAATCTGGAGGGCAAGGTGGGTAGTTATAATGGCACTACAGATTCAGTGATTTAGAGGCCAAACATCTGTGTCAGATAGTTGCCTTGTTGACTGCTATCAGGAGTTTGCTTTTTCTGAGATAAGATGACTTCCATCGATGGCAGTGCCTGATGTTTGTCTGCTGTCTTATTAATTTTCCTGTGTGGGATCCAGTTACAATTTGTATGATTAAATTTGTGTTCAGTTTGTGATAAGAGGTTGACAGATGTTAAAATGGTTCTTTTAAGTGAAGATTTATTGTCACCCTGACAACACTCTTCACGTTGGATCTTTAAGATAGAGAAGAAAGAGATGTTATCTCTTTAGATCAGCTTTTGATTATTTTCTCAGCCGATGAATAAGCAGGTTGCTTGCTTTTTCTCAGTGCTCCATAAGTGCTATGCTAAGCAAAGTAACAGAAGTAACCACAGGGGTCAGATATACAGATGCTTTGCTGTGCAATTTCCCCTGTTGGCTGCTGCAGAAACCATGAAAACCAGAAACCAGCCTTATTAACCATGTTCACGCTGTAGCTGATATTACTGCACATCGGCATGTTTTCGCATTGCACAGATGCTGCTAATGAGCCTGTTCTCCAGTAGGAGATATGAGAGAAGCAAAAATAAAAGTCCCCTAACCTTTGTCTTCTCCCCGGGTAGCACTTCTGCACAGCTAAGACGCTGTATATCAGTGACTCAGATAAAAGGAAGCACTTCATGCTATCTGTAAAGATGTTGTATGGAAACAGCGCCAACATTGGAGTCTTCTTCAGCAAGAGGATCAAGGTCATCTCCAAGCCCTCCAAGAAGAAACAGTCCTTGAAAAATGCTGATTGTGAGTTGCTGGACACACATAAATCGAAGAGTGCTGAATGGTTTCACAACAGCTTGATGTTTAAGTTGGATTTGAAAATGATTTTCTTTTTCCAGTTTCACTTTCTGTTTTTTATTCCCCTCCAGTATGTATAGCATCTGGGACAAAGGTGGCCTTGTTTAACCGCCTGCGTTCCCAGACGGTCAGTACCAGGTATCTCCATGTGGAGGGGGGAAACTTTCATGCCAGCTCTCAACAGTGGGGTGCCTTCTACATTCACCTCTGTGAGCTACACTTTTTTCTTTTATATCGTGTAAGATTTTAAATAAGAGACATTTAATCTTTTTTTAAATTGTTATTTTCTTTTATTTAGTGGACGATGATGAGTCTGAAGGGGAGGAGTTTGCTGTAAGAGATGGCTATATTCACTATGGCCAGACAGTCAAATTGGTTTGTTCTGTGACTGGCATGGCCCTGCCAAGACTGGTATGTGGCACTTTTTTATTTCTGTTGTCTGTTTGTGAGAAAATGAGCTGCTTGTAGTGGCGTCCAGGTGTCACTGTATCATACAAATGAGTGATTTCTATAAAAGAAAACACACAAAAAAGGGTATTCCCTGTAGCCTTGCTATAAATTACAAAATTAAATATAGAATCCAAAACTGTAAACAAATTTAATTTTGCTGGACAGCTGGCCAAATTCACATCGGAGTCTGTTGACTCACCTGTAGAGCAAAGCCTCAAGTGGCCAGTCAAGGAACTGCATTTCTATATTGGCAGAATAACAGTGGGGAATTGGGGGGAAAGAGAGCAAGGACCAGAGAGGTGATGATAAAATGAAGAATGATGCAAGTTTGACAGCGTGGGAAAGCAGAAATGACAAAGAGATTAATAATAGCAGTAAAAGCCCACACAGTCTAAATCAAGGTTTCCTAACATAGTCTGACATTCATGTGTGTGCCCAGTAGGGCTGGGTATCGTCACTGATTTCTAGAATCGATTTGATTCCGATTCACAAGGTCCCGAATCAATTCGATTCGAATCAATTTAAATCTTGGAAATTTTGCCTCAGACAGTCAGAATTCATGACGTTTTTTTTTTTTTTATTGAAGCGTAACTCTTTTGCTGCTGGTTCGGTCAATAATGTTTGGAGAGAGATAAAACTAACAGCTTTAGAATCAGCGCAAAAAGGGCGTAAATACAAAGCGCGGACCCGCCGAAACATCGGTATCAGCGAGCTGTCGGCTTTCAGCCCCGACCGTGTCCGTGCCGTCGGGTGAGAAGGCGACATCTCACTGATTCTGGTCCGTCGGCGGGTCCGAGCTTTGTGTTTACATCTTTGTGCAGAATCTGTGTGCCTGCTCTCATTTACTGTTTTAGCTGTTTGATGGTTCTTGAAATTTTGTGAGGTTTAACCTGAGATTCTGGCAATTCGGGCAAAATAAATTAATATTAAAAAAATCGATTCAAGATTTTAATGAATCGATATCATGTTATCCAAGCCAGAATCGATTTTAATCGATAAATCGATTATCAAAACCCACCCCTAGTGACCAGTACTTACAATAAGTGTGTTATGATCCCCAGATCATTCGAAAAGTGGACAAGCAAGCAGCTTTAATGGATGCTGATGACCCGGTGTCCCAGCTTCACAAGTGTGCCTTTTACCTGAAAGATACAGACAGGATGTATCTCTGTCTATCACAGGAGAGGATCATCCAGTTCCAGGTGTGCAAAGTCTGAAACACACAGACATGTATATATTCAATTATTTCAACTTTGTTTTTGTGAAATCAAGTTATATTAGAATTTTTTTGTGATGAGCAGGTATCAAAACAGTAATAAATTGCTGCTGTTGCTAAGGAGAGGAAATCTGCCAGTAGTGCCGTTTGGAGTATTTTCTTGTTGAAGGGTGACTATGGACTGACTCAAAATCCAGACTGATCCAGAATTAAACAGGTTTGAAGTATGTCTAAAGCAGAAGTAAACATATTTTTTGAGTTTGTATCACTAAAGAAAAATGCAATAACCACATGAATTATTCAGCTGGTAAATGCAGCTAGTAAATCTGAATTATTAAAAAAAAGAGAGAAGTGCACAAAATTAGGTCTTGATATTAAAATTAGGATTGGAAATCAAGAAGAAATAATCAGCATTCTGTGCTCTGAAATGTTTAAGGCATATCTGTAGTGCTGACTTGCAAGCTCTCATGTCAGCTCCACTGGAGTGTGGTGTGCTACTTACATTAACCCTTTAGAGCCGATCGGAGCGGGAACGCTCTGTTATGCGTAACTATTTTTAAATCCCGGTAGCACTGCAACCACGTAAGCTAGCGCAAAAATTTTTTTTGCATATGAAACCGGAGGAGTTGTACTTACATATTGTGCCATTAGCTTGTCCTAGGTCACGGTTTCCTTCCACATAAAGCTTTGCAAAAACTGCATAAAAAGCGCTTGCAGGAACAAAAACATAATATTCCAGAAACACGCTTTGCCGGTCCGATCAGCTGTTCAAAACACTTCCTACCTTGGAATAGACGTCAGCGCGAACTTTTGCATTTCCGCCATTACCTGGCCGAAACCGGAAGTGACGTCATTTTCGCGGAAATGTAGTCTTTTTTGCGATCAGGGCCTCAGGGCCTATACTGCTCTTTTTAAAAGTTATCTTTGACTTTATGACTTTCTGTGTCGATTCTGGGATGCTTAGGACTCATATTGCACTGCTGGAAATAGTTTATTTTGATGCATATGCTGCTTTTTTGCAAATTTGCAGTATAATATTTATTTTCGTTTTTCCTGCAGTGTATAAAAATTGGTGTATTTCAAAAATAAAACTATGAAGACACTCAAAATAAATTTCCTGTGGTGGGAAACTATTTTGTGCAACTTTTTTGTATTTACAGTTTTGAGGTATAAGCCTCTTAAATTTCTCTAACTAGAAATATATGTTAAAAAATCAAAAACGATTTTCAATTTTTTTGTAGTTTATTGCACTTTTTTGCAATTTATGTAATTACTATGCACTTAATGAATACATATTATTAAAATCTGGGCTATAATGGTTGTATTGATGTATAGCAACTTGAAATGCTCCCAAAAATGGCTCCACAGCATGTAAAAATATAATATAAGCTCTGGCGGACTTGGTTCTATGGTAGGTCTTAAAGGGTTAACATAAAATCGCAATTTATACATAATAATTTTATTGGTGTTCTTAAGGAACAGTTACTATGGGCTGAATTGCCAACTGCAGTCTGTATTCTGTGACTAGTAGTGCTGATGTCAATGGGTCAGGATGATTCATTCCTCAGAGAAAGTTAGTCATGTGTCCTAGCCTATTTCAATAAATATAGTTTTCTGGTGTAAAATGATAACTGCAAAGGTTGATGTTGGTGTTGGTCATCAGGTCTTTTGTCAGTGTGGATCTCCTTAAAACAAACCCCTTCTTTAGTTCTTCATTCTTGGGAAGTTTAAAAAAGTAGGCTGAACTATTTTGCAATTTCTGCAATCCAAGGAAGAGCAGCTGCAGTAAAGGTTTTGAAAGCTGAAGGTGTAGCAACTTCAGATACAGGAAGACTACTGATACTTATCCCCTGTAGCATTTATAAGTCTTAGGTTTGGGGCAGGATTCATGCTAAGGCTTGGTGAGTATGTTGCTGCGATTCTGACTCTAAAAACTGATTAAATAATAGAAACAAGTGACTTGTTTTTGTTGTTATTATTATTTTTTATTATTTCTAACAGTATAATGACTTAAGAAAACATTTGTGGTTTTGCTTTTCACAGACTTTTTGGAGCATTTCACTACCTGTAAATATTTGGGTTGTGAAATGCAGCCAATAGAATAGTCAGTAAAATGTTTTATGAGCTGAGTAACATCTTTTTAGGACTTAAGAGAAAGTCCTAACTGTTTTACCAACTCCTCTCCAAGCCCTTTGGTTTTTTGGTAATGTCGCTACATAAAGAAGAGTTGTATCATACTGTATGAAGGCATCAGGAAAAGCACAACCTATGACCGCATTTTAGAATGTAATGTTGAACTTACATTACCTTTTTGACCAGGACCGTGAATACCAAATGTTGTCAAACATTTTGACAAATGTTTTAATGACTGTGTGAATAATATTTAACTGCCACGTTTTCCTTCATATATTTTGTATACAGCAGGTAAAATGAGAACTGAACACGTCATCAGTTTTCAAAGTAAATATATTTCTAAAAGTGCTGTTGACATGATATTTTCACCAGATGTTGGTAACAACCCATCCAGTCTGACACATGCGGACAAATCAAACCATAGATGACCTGCTGTGTGTTATATGTGGCTGTTCCTACTTTTTTTTTTTTTTTAATGTATCTATATACTACTGCAAATAATCAGTATATAGTTCAGTTAAAAATATAGGTAATTATTACTGAAGGTTTTTTTTCTTTACAGATAAGAGTTTGACATTTTTATTTTCTTATCCAGAGAAATTGTAATTTAAAAATAAAAACTATGTATGATTTTATTTGGCATGGGGCTACCTAAGAGTTTGTTATTAGAAACATTTTGGTTTTAGTTTTTTTTTGGTTTTGTTTTTCTTGCAAAGACAGATTTGCTCGTATAAATATAAACAGTGTTGGTGTGTTTGAAACAAACCAATAATTAGAAGAATCTGTTTGTCACAGATAAATATTAATAGAGCTGTTTTAGAGCAGTACTTACAGCAGCCATTTGTATGATTTGAGCACCAGTTTCTAGAGTTAAACATAACAGTCCGAGCCTCTATCAGCCACCATGATGGTGCCTGGTTGGACATAACTGTACGGAATTAAAATTAATTGTGTTTCTTTTGTTTTGTTTTGTTTTTCAGGCTACACCGTGCTCCAAAGAGACCAACAAGGAGATGATTAATGATGGTGCTTCATGGACTATCATTAGTACTGACAAAGCAGAGTACACCTTTTATGAGGGCATGGGCCCCGTGCCCACACCAGTAACACCCGTCCCTGTGGTTGAAAGCCTGCAGGTACACATACAGCCTTTTCCGGGGAAGATATGCTCTAGTTACCAGCAAACACGAGTGACACTCTTGATCCCCAAGTATACGTCTCTTTTGTTTTTATTCAACTACTATGAATCTTCTAAGACTTGATTGATTTTATGTTTGTCTCTGTCCAGTTAAATGGTGGAGGAGATGTTGCTATGTTGGAGCTGACAGGACAGAACTTCACCCCTAACCTCAGAGTTTGGTTTGGAGATGTGGAGGCAGACACCATGTACAGGTAAATATGTCTGCGAGTGTTAACTTTGTTCCCGTGTGTTTTCATTTCATTTTTTTTTTAAGCCTTGTCCCATCCGCTTACTTCCTTAGATGTGGGGAGAGCATCCTTTGCGTGGTGCCAGACATCTCTGCCTTTAGGGAGGGTTGGCGCTGGGTGAGACAGCCAGTTCAGGTCCCTGTCACGCTGGTTCGCAGTGATGGAATCATCTACGCCACTGCCTTGACCTTCACGTATACCCCCGAACCAGGGCCAAGACCTCACTGCAGTGCTGCTGGAGCTATTCTGCGGTCACACAGCACCTCTTCATCATCACCCGCATCTTCATCCTCACCTTCATCTTTGATGGGTGTGCTCGGGGATGGCCACGGAGCCTACAGCAGTAGTGACTCTGGCATGTCGTCTGGGACTTCAGCTATGTCGGTGCTGTCATAGTAAAACGTGTTTTGTGATTGTGCTCTCAGTGACTGAGTGAGAAAATGTGAGCATGTTCTCCAAAGAGGCTCATGGACCTGTGAAGAATTGCACAGAAGCTAAGAAGTTCTTTGTTAGAGGAACTGTGAAACTATGAGGAGGAAAAAAAGACAACTTCAGAAGCAAGAGTTGTGATTTCTGATTGTACTGTATCACCCTCTTGTGGATTGATGTGGACATATCATAAGCTCCACTCAGAGTAACGTGATATCCATGCTCTTCATCTAAAAGAAGGTGAACTATCTAACTCCCATAGCAACATCATTTGTAAAATAACCTTTTTGTTTTGTTTTTATATACTTGGCAGGTTTGGAAGCTACTTTAACTGCTTTCTTACTACCAGCATTATGTTTGCAGATGAACACAAACTTGTAATTGCATTGAGCAAGGGAAAATTTGTAAGAATAACATAGTTTTATGGACCAAGGAATATTATTATATTATTTTATTCATATTGTATTTTATAAGTTTTTTCTGAGGTACATTTTTGTATGATACACTGCATAGTAAGATCAGTTTGTTACCAAGATAGTTTTTCATATTGTTGCCTCCCATTCCTGTTTTCTCTCAGTTGAGTCAAGATGAAAATTGCTTTTCATGTGTGTAATAGTCAGACAACAGCTTCTCACCTTTTTCTTTTTTTTTTTTAAAGCTTACTTGCTGTCGTTAACAGTTGAGTGTGTTGCAATGAAAAAGAGTCAGTCAGTCTTTGGAAGCACTTTAGAAAATGAAGATATCTCTATGTCTGCTTGCAGTTATTGGCTTGGCTGTTTTATGTTTTCCAGGCCACTGAACAGTTTTGGTTTCTCTTTTATATCAAAGATGACATTTTTAATGAATGTAGAGTGTGTGTGTGTGTGTGTGTGTGTGTGTGTGTGTGTGTGTGTGTGTGTGTGTGTGTGTG